CTGGAATGCTCATTGTTCTTAACAGCATTTTATGGTCTTCAACACTGTCCAGGATTAAAAAAAAGTATTAATTTTGTCATAAGGGTTAAGAAATAAAAGACTAAGTTACGATTGAGAGAAATAACGCATAGTAGGAGACCAAAGGCCGTAAACTAACTTTTATAAGATGGAGTTCAGGTTCTATGTACAAAGCTAAGAAGCATCAAGAAAAGCAGCTTGTGGGTGGTGGGGGGAAGATAAGGGAAGGGTACCTGACTTCTTCCTGGGGGATGTGCTGCATGATGACACCAAATGATTCATGAGAATCGTGTTTTGAGCTTGAAATTAAACAACTTCAGTGAAAGCAGGTTTAGGGTTTTTTCTGGAGAAAAAAAGAAAAAGAAATACACAGATTTATCCATTTCCACTGCCTTTTGCCTAATCAATTTCTTGCTTTTTACTTAGATTGCACATCCCATTTGACAGCTAGCAGCTATGAGCAGTCCTTTTTAAAGTAAGAGCAGAAAAAAACCCACTCTAGTACACTTACAAATACTTTCAGTTTATTATGAATCTACTGAATATCCCACAATATCTACTGAAATCATGCAGTGTATTTCTGTAGTGTCTGATCAACCATAAGGCAGCAAAACTGATCATCTTCATCTCAACAAAAAAACTGCGTAATCAGATATACTTTGGGGCAGCCAGACTTTCTGTAACTGCTAGTGAGTTTTGAAAGTGACAGCCTAAAGGAGAGGAAAAAAAGAAAAATTATTCTACTACTTATTAGAGCTGTGCTTATCATCACTGCTACCTAAGTGGCAACCTCCAAAAAGGGTAGGCAAACAACTGGGGAAAGCAACATCTTGAAATGCTACAGTTAGATTCGCTAGAGGATATTTGTCAGAATCCACAGTGAAATAAAAAAGTAGGGAGCCTACTACAAAACACCGATGACATTGTTAATACTCCGAAGGATAACAACTCACCTGAAAGTGTAGGTTAAACTTGTTAATATTTGCTCTGCTGTATTTTCATAATAAGCAAGAAGTGAGGCACAAGAGGAAATCTGTAGAGTGAAAGAGTTGGTACTCAGAGCCCAACAACTGCTATGGGCAGACCTGGTCCTGCAGACCAAGCACCCGCTAACAGTTGAAGGGCATCTTCAAGGTCAATTTTTTGTAAAAGGAATCTAATTCCTGCTCCCCAAGACCATTCCATGATGCAATCATAAGCACTGGAAGTAGACTATCATGAGATTTGCTTCAAACACACGCTTCTCATCCAAACAAAGACACTTGCATAGATGCGCCTAGAGATACAAAATAGGACACCAGCAATACCTGCACGTGTTCATGCCTGCAGAGGAATCGTGTTCTGGAGAACAGCAACTCAGAAAAGCTTAAAATAAACAGTGGTTTAAGACAGCTTTCTGGATACACTGTTTAATTACAGGTTATCAATACCTTAAAGGTTATCAGTATCTTAAAGAACAAAAGTCAAGCACCATGTCCCGTTAGGCAATAAGATACTAAGCATCCTTGATAGTACAGTCCAAGATACAAGGAAGACACAGTGCTGCTAGTAGCCTACATGAATCACTGTTTCACTCTAGGAAAACCCTAGAAAAACTAAAAAAAATTAAAAAGCACTGAGTAAAACCAACCCAAAGACCTTCTTTAGGACCTGACATTTGAAGCAAATATCTCAATTCTAGTCTCCCTCTCTCTAAATCCTGCTGCTCAGACACAGGGTGATGATAATCTGCAAAGTATTCCCCAATACGTTGTCCCATCTCCAACTTTTTTTTAATCAATCGTAACAGTATTAGAGTGAAAATAACAGGAAAATTAGAGATGTTTGTAAAATTTGACCGAAGAAAACTTACATATATAGGACTTCCAGGGGAGGTGAAGAAGAGTTTCCTTAAACCATTTTTTATTAAGCTGCCAATTGAAAGTTCAGAGTTCTTTGGTCTTGACAAATTATTAATCTCTACTGATTTTCACAGCTAGGATTTTAAGCTCCCAAGTTAGATATAAGTGAGTGATGTTCTAAAGAAAAATAATCTTTCAGTGTACTTCCACCGAAAACTGAATACTATGCTCTTCCTAGTATCAATAGTAAGAATGCCTGAAGAGACAGTAACTGTCTTTAGAATAAGGCTGCCATCTAGTAGCAGAATAGAGTAGATGCAGAGAAATCTCAAACCAGAATTTGACCTGAGAACCTGCTTCATGATCTGACATGCTATTACACAGAGATATAAACACTGGAAGCATAGTTCTTCAGGAAAAAAAAGGAAAAGAAGTGGCAGAAAGCAGAGATTGCTAGATGGTGGTTTATAAACAGGCAGTTCTCCAGGACAATCCCAAACTATTCAGTTCACAATATCAAGTTTATCTAGTCAGATAAGTCAACATGTAGAGGCAGTATAGAGGTGGAGTGGTACTTTTGTGGTGGTGACATACTTGGTCTTCTTTCAAGTTAATTAAAAAAACTGCAGCCTAATTCACTTTTTCTGAAAGAAGATTATTCTTCTGTGTGAGGTCTTATGCTACAAAATGCAGTGAAACGAAGTAAGTTAGACTGAACCATAAAGACATTCAAAGGCAGGGCCTAAAATCTTACACTGGAACTAGAGATTCACAAAAAAAATGTTGAATAAGCAACTTCTTAAGTGTTACATATTTATTCTTGCTTCTTGGAAACCATGCAGTTTCCAAGTAAGTCAGAGCTGCAGTACATAGAATTTACTCTCTCATCATTTAGGTGTCACTGGCTTTATTTTCGTTTTGTAGACCAAGATCCAATACATTTTACAACTATAATCTACAATGATTTGCCACTGTGTTTCATCCATTTATCATCTCTAACACACAAAGAAAGAGCTCTTGAGATGCCATCGTGTTGATGCCTATTTCATACAACGCAGACGCTTTCCAGTTCAGTAACTGAGTATGTTCCAAGAAATCTATGTCTTAGCATACCACAGCCACAGAGTTACCAGGGCTTTTGGAAGATGCTGAAGTGTACTGCCTATATAGGAAAGAATGGTTTGTTCCTGGTTGGTGGGAAGGGAAAGTCAGGACACTGGCTTTGCAAGATCCACTGGCAAAGCAGCACTCTCTCCCTAGGATATTTTCAAGGCCACCTGCTTCCATCACAGCTTTCTCGAAGAAACTGGAAGCCAGTAGGGGAAGAAAAATAGCATGACCACAAGTGGGAAGAGCTGACAGCAGAGACCTGGGGAAGACAAAGAGAGGAAGTACAGAAATAGAACTCAACCACTGTTTCAAGAGTCTCCACCAATGAAGGCAAAAGAACGGCCTTTTGTTTTGACAGGTATGAACGTATTTTTCAGTACTTATCAGAGAAGGCACCAATCTAAATGTGAAAGTCGTAAGTTAAATTTTGTCACATCTAACAACATTACCTTCAGTCCTCTGAAGATAACTTTAATTCCATGTACAGGAGCAGAAAGAAACAGATACGTGTAGGAACGCAGGTTAGAGCGCCAAACAGACTGCATTAGTAGTTCCCTTTGTCCCTTCTTAACACAGTAGATCTCATTCTAGCAACAGAAGCAACACAAGCCTGATCATATCTTAAGTTTTCAAAATGAGAACTTCCCTTTTGTCATTTTGACTTTAATAACTTACCATGCAAACATATGCTCTATTCTTAAGAGTTACTCATCTGTCCTTACTACTGGTGTGTGTGACATGCTACAGTTCTGGAAAGCAGAAGTCTACATGATGTACAGAAGTAGGTCTTGTGTTCGCAATTCCTCATTTACTGGAATAAAGACAAATGTAGATTAGTGGTTTAAGGGCATTTCCACACCCATCCCTCTTGTCCAGTCTTAAAAAGGACCCCAATTACTCCTTAGGAGTTAATAATTAAAAATCACTTTCCACATTTCCTGCTTCTGCTCACAAAGCTTACATCTGATCAGTCCCTTGTGGCTTAACTCAAAACTATCATAGCTCCTTCCTTTAACCAATAACTAACAAACAGTCAGTATTTGATAGTCTAGCTTTATTAACACAAATCTCTGCTTCCACCCAGAGATTAATTCTGTAGCAGAACCTCATTAGGTCATTCTCACTACTAAAGTAATGTGATACTGAAAAGCATGAGTAATACTGAAGAAAAACTAAGACATGTAGTTGCCTTCCCCTTCTTAGAAAAGAGTGAACGAAAGGTGACAAAAAGCTAGTATGTCAAATTTTATGAATGCAATTGCCTCCTACACCTCCTCCCTCAGGATGTTACAGGGCTTGAGCTTTTTTTTTTTTTGTAAGACAAAACCCCCATATATTTAGTAACGTAAGAGTTTTGGCTCAAATTGCACTATAGCACTTCAACAAAAGATGACTTTGTTGAATGTTTTCCCCAAACCTATTTCTCCAAAACAGTTCATTTTCGCACACTGGGGTAGACTTTTGCTTTGGTATTTACAGTCAACAGTCCAAAGACAATACTGCTAAGAATTACACTTTTTTTAAAAGACAGACAAAAAAGCTGATGAGCATAAAAGGAACTAGCATATCCTCATCTTCTGGAAATACCAGTGAGAAGATGTTAGCTGCAGATCCACATCTCTGATGCCTGCTTCTCTCCCTTTCCAGTAAATGATGGGCCAAGAGAGAGATGGGAGAAGTACTTACCGTCTGGACAGGGCAGACACCCAGCAAACAGTGGTTACAAAACAAGGACTTAGCTCTCAAACTTCAGGAGTCTGACCCCAAAACGTATATGTGATTTTTAAAAAACAACTCTATGTAACAGGGAATCATTTTCTACAGAGAATTCATAAACAATACGAAGTTGTCAAGCAGAATAATCCCTCAAAATGAAGCCACTTTAATTTTCTTCCTATCAGATTTATAATCACACCTATCACAAAAATGCAAATCTAAAGTCATCCTTAGGATGAATACCAGATTTCTAAGCGGATTAAAACCAACACACCCTAAGTATGACAAATGTACTTAATTCCCAGTTCAATAAAATACTGTAATATCAATTTATTAAAAAGTTATGTGAACTGTACATACGTAAACTGCAATATAGCTGAAAAATCTGAAATATATAATTTTAAAGGAAAATCATTTATTTCTGAAAATATTTAAAATATTGCATTTCTGGCAGCAAATTTAAAAGAAGTGCTCTGGAATGGGTGCAGTCTCTCTGTGCATTTGTCTAGCATTTGTCTTCAAGGTGTAAAACATATCTGCTTTCTGATTTCTCATAGCACAATCTTGTGAACACTTTCTTTCTGACTTGTAGAGACAGAATTCGATTTCCAAGAACAGCAGCAGAATTTTAACAGGAAATACTATCGTCCTTGTTGGTGCAGACAACACACTTTCCGAGAGTCCACGACACCTTGGAAATATGCTAGCCATTCTGCATATAAATGCATCAGATTGTGCTTACAAGTTACAGAATAAGTCTTTGATTGATAATTTTTCTGTTTATTTCCGCCAAGGCCACTGAAAATACGAAGGCCTTTTCATCTGAAAGGTTAGCATACATGTCAACTTCTTTTTCTTGTTTCTCTGTAGAAGAAAAAAAAGTCACTATTAGAAGCTTTCTCCATTATCCGAAGTTAATGCAAGTTACATAGTAGTTCATAAATTATGTGGAATGGAGTACTGGAATTGAAAAGAAGTTAGACAATCAACTCCTATGCAGGGAGGGATTGAGAGAGAGGAGGAAGGAATGGAGGCACACAAAGGTGCTAGAAGTGTCACAGAATTAGTCATCCAAAAGCATGACTGAATTTCTGTTCTTTAATGACAAAGAAAGAATGAGTCACTAACGTTATATTGATTCCTGACACAAAAGAGCATTCAAGTGTTCCTCCAGTTTTGGGGTCTTTTTTTGCTTTTTCATAAACACCTCCCATCCTAGAAAACAAAGATATTTCACCATATCCTCATTAAATATGACATTCGTCCCCCTATTTCACATCTAAGTAACAGAAACCCAAGAGTTTAATTACAGCGTCCAAAACCAAAGAGCAGATACATGGCAGAAGTCAGGTTCCCAATTTGTCACCATGAACATTTCTGGACTTTCTATACCACAGACTTTCAATCTTATCCCAGATAGAGAACAAAGCTAACACCTCAGTGAGCAAGGCAAAGCCTCTGAATTCCCTCTGCTGATGTTGGCTTCTTTGAAGGCGACAGATACACAACAGCAAGCCATCAAGAAGTTTCTATACTGCAGTGCTCAAGTACACTAAGTTACACTATACCCTATACCATATGACAAAACTAACAGAATAGTACTTTCATAAATACCACTTACTCCAGATCATGACTATTTATATCCCAGTTTAGCTAGCCACAGGTAGCTGACACAACTCAAGAAAAACAAAAACAAAAACCAAACCAAAACACAGCTTTGTCAGCAGAAGACCAAGCTTGTATACACAGAGAAGAGAGGAATAGATAGAGAGCTTTAAGGTTGGTGTCTAGCTGTGGAACTCCATCTCTAATCCAAGTTCCACAGTGGCCTGGACTAACTTACAATCACAACACAACGCTCACCTGACTGACCCCTCTGTCTCATTAACACACAGACACACACATGCACGCTCTTTTTGACCACAGCACACTCTGGCAGACTGCTCCACCAAGACACCTAAATCAGTAGTGGCCAGGTGAAAGACAAAGCAGCATTGGAAACTAATGGAAAGCACCCTATGGAAAAGAGATCCCAGCATCTCATATCTCTACCTACTGACATAGTTATTCCTTCAATGGGTCCACATTCATAACAACATTTTTAGATTTGGCTTCACACCTGATTGTTTGTGTTACAGGTACAGACACCATTCCAACAGACTACCCTCCCTGTGAAGCCAAGTGTTTGTGTTAAACAACTAAGTGGGAGAAACTGAAAAATCCTTTACCACTGTGTTCTGATTTAATACTGATAGAGACACACAGCAACAAAACCCTCTACTTAAAGATTTCTAGACAACTTAAATCACACATAAGCTCACCTTTCCCTGCAAGTAAAATTGCTTAGCGAGGAGCCTGGACACACAAAGATGCATCAGTTTTTAGTCTGAAAACAAGAAACTTGCCTTAACAAAGTAAAAGAAATCAAAGCATGCTTAATATTTGGAATGTAAGTGATTTCTGCTTGTTCCTTGGCTACACAAGACTATTCTCTAGTGCATTGAGTTTGAAATGAAAGCTGAGAAACTGAGTTTTGCTGCAAGTCCTACCCTGTAGTTTAAGACAAACCAGTTTCTATATGTACACTCAGTCTGGGTTGCTCCACTTCCTCCCTCCCACCATTTACAAATTAACAATGCTGGGAGTTGTTCTGAACACAGACACTACGCACACTGGTTATTCCACATTAACCTTTTCTATTTTCATATCTATCCCCCTCCCCTTTTTTCATACTTCCCGATCCAAACAAATCCAGCCACCACCTGAACCTGTCAGCACCCAGCAAAATTAAAAATACTTTTTTTCCCGCTCCTGGTTACTGTTAACAGATTGTAGACTTCTTAGCAAAAAAACCACTTTCTCAAGTTTCCTTTCCCCTCTCTCCTCTCAAAGTACTGGCTCGTTCTGAGAGACTTCAGCTTTAAAGAATTGAAATCTTGATATCAAACAGTATCAGGGATTAATACAGGTTTGCAAGCTTTATGCATTCTTAAGACAATTCCAGATCTCAACAGTAACTAGTGAAGGGCTTGCACCTGCCTGGCATTTTATCATATGCTACTCATAGGATACCATGGTTTCTACAGACACTATTAAAACTTTCCACTTCACAGTCTTATCTGAAAGTAGTTTTGACTCACTTCTCTAATATTAGCAAAAGACTGTCTCACAGAATTACAATACCATTTTTGTAAGACATTAAAAATATTAAGTCTTTTGATATACAACTAAAAGGCTATTTAGGTGAAAATATTCAGTTTCTCTGTAGCATGTCTCTCGCATCCCCAGACCTCCTGCAACCCACTAGACCCACAGCCCTTAAAATTGTGATCTATGTATAAATCAAATATGGACCCTCCCCCCTCACAAATTTTGTATGGATTCAAAATCCAAAGTTCTGAGATTCACTATGCAAGATAGTAAACTATTTCAAATGTGCACATTGAGCAAGCAAATGTATGAGTAATATAGTCAGAAATTACTGGAAAAGGAAAACTTGGGTCAAGAAATTTAACTCAGCTTAAGTTTTACCAGGATACTGAAATGTATATATCTTTATAAAGATTCACCCCTTGTTAAGTATCAAGTACGCTTTAATAAGACTCCAGGCCACTCTTATTGAGTCCCACTTGATGGTAACCTCTTTCAGGAGCAGAATAACCAATACCACTTCCTCCGGCATACGAGGGTGTTTTTGTTTGGTTTAATATAATCCAGGTTGTTACCTAGATAACAAGGCAGCCTGGGAACCTGTCTAGCTGTGTATCACAGTCCCACACAGTAAAATAAAAACCATACCACCACCACAACAAAAATCAGATTATTATGAAGTTTCTATTTTCAAAACATATTGTAACATTTCTGACAAAGAAATTAAGCGACAGTTTTGACAAGCCAAGCCTGCAGTGAGAAGTTCCTGTTTTCCACGGTCATCACGTGGCTCTGAAACATGTGATAGGAGTATTCTCTTGGTCCCAGCACTCTCCATATCCCCTCAATCTACATCAGCTTCCTCTTTCCTCCCCCTCCATTCCTTCTTACTATACCTGCGGGAAAAAACACTTATTTTAAAAAGACCTTTTGTTTCTCCTATTCTTCTTAACTGCCGTTGAGTCCTGCAGCTCTTTGCTCCGATGTGAACCAGTCACGAAGGATACAAAAGAACTAGTCAAAGGCACAGACATAACTGGGAAGAAGCACACTATGTATGAAAAGAGCACAACACAAGCAAGGAAGCAAAGCTAGAGATGTCACGGGTGGCTTTAGGAAGAAAATTTTCACAGCTGGGTGGTCTTCAAATGGACCGATTATCTGCTCTTGCTTGCTATTATAATTCAGGTGTTCTCTGTCCTCCTGTTTTTCAACTACAAATGTATTAGGCTTTGCAGAAGCCTAACAGGCACCAAATATTTAACAGCTTTGCAAGCAGTGGCCTCTCTTCAAGTCTTTCGGGGGAAAGAAGAATAGCCCAATCTCTAGCAGCAAGTAATGCGTACCCAAAATATCTTAGAAACATACAATAGGCAAGGAAATAATATACTTAAAGTCTAACACTAAGCTAATGTCTTGCACTCCAGAACTGACTTTCAACACTATGCAGACTGATAGAAGGACTAGCAATGAGTCACACAAAAATCACCTTAACTGGAGTAGACGAATTAAAGTTGCTGAATATGCTTTTACACAAACAGCACTATCAAGCAGCAGGTTTGGTAAAGGAAGAATATTTCTAAAATTCCTCACTAATTACACCACACGTAGTAGTTAGGCCAATTTTATAAGCCACTTGAAAATGGAGAAGTCAATGTTCACTTGTTTTATAGTAATTACTTAAAAAATGATGGGTTCTCTACTGAATTTATTTTTACAGCCGTGACAACCATATATATCAACTTTTTGTTTGTTTTTTTTAAATCTGCCCAATAATCACCACAGTGGTCTACACACATTACAGTCTGACATAACCAGAAATAGGTCAGAAGTAAGAAAATATCCTAAGCCCACTTATTCCTAACCAATAAGGTGTGCTGTACTGGTGAGGAGCAGAGATCCTCACCTCACAAATGGGTGTGAACCCAAGCTCTGTACCAGCTCTGCAAAAGAGGTCGAGGAAGAAATAGTAGCAGTAGTCACAGTACCAAGTAAAGGGGATGGTAAGACAGGACAAGAAGATGAAGGCAATCTTCTCAAGTGAGATTCAACTTTAAAAAAAACATAACACCAAACACCAAGAACACACCACACCACACACGCACTCTTATGCGAAGGTCTCACTACATCTGTGTTTCTAGTTTTCTACCTCAGAGCACTGGCATATTGTCACACTTTGGAGTATGCCACAAGAGGCAAAAAACATTCAGCCTAGTTTTAGATAGGAAAACATGTTCTCTAAATATCCCTCATGCTTTCAAATTCTTGCTTTTCGGACACTACAAAACATGCATTAAGAGAATGGATATTTTCTTTTGATTGCTTAGATTGCTTTCCTGTCCCCTGAAAAAGAGGAAAGAAGATTTACTTTTATAGGGTTACCCAACAAGCTTGCAGGAATTTTCAAACCAAAACTGTGCGTGAACTAGACTGGCACTAAAATGCCTAGAAATGATCCTATAGGTGCTAGACAAAGTCTAGCTTGGATCAATAACAAATAGGGAAGCTCTGTATTCTGTGAAGCTACATACATCAATAAGCCATATGCAACAGTGAAGAGATTAGATATTATAAGCATATTCTTATTACAGTAAAGCAATTGCCATCCAGAAAACATACAGAAATCAAATTCTATCTCCTCTTTCCACAGCCAAAGCACTAAAGCAACAACATTCCAATTTATACTTCATTTGTATATGAAAGAAACTTTAAGAATGGACAGATTTACATTAAAGCAGAGACAACAAAATTGGTTTTGACAAGTTAGAAGTTAAAGGAACTCACTTTGCAACATAGATTAACACCCATTTTTGTTAACAAACAAGGTGGCAGGGGAAAAAAAACAACTGCATTTCTGAGTTATGCCACAAGGTATGCTTGATGGTTTCAGCAGTTTTAAGAACAAGATCTTCTGAATATTTACATGAAGTCTTGTTCTTCCCCTCCTATCTGCCTTCCAGCCTTTTTAAGTCTATGCTAAGTTTTGGATTAATTATTCAGGCCTAAAAGTAGTATCTCCAAAACCATAGACAGAAAATGCAGTGTCAATAGGCTCTTAAAAAAACAGGAATCCAAAGTGACAGTCACATACTTGAAGGGCTCCAAAATTACTCTAGTGCATGTAACGGTCTCTTTATTGTATAAAGACTAAGAACAGCAGGTCACCAAGGAACCTTAATAAGCAAGGTAGCATTCTTTCCTCTAGAGTATTATTCTGTAGAAACATGGGACAAAAATTGAGGTCATAGTAGTGACCTAAGATGCCCTTTTTACTTTGGCCCTTCAAAAGGTTTCAAGGAACTTTTTAAGCAACCCAATCATCCTAATCACTCTCCAGTAACAGGCATCGTTATATTGTTTGTCCTTGTGATGTAGAGCAGCAGTACCGCAAAAAACAAAAACAAAAAAAAAAACACTACTAAGCACTACAGTCCCATGGCTTTCAACCTACATGTTGAAACTGCATCTGGTGGCTAAAAATACAGACTTAGTTCTTTGTAGTTAGTTCCAATCAGACACTGAAACGTAAACCCAGAGGTCTCTACAGATGTGAAACAGTCCCTTCCCCATATTAAGATATCGGGTATTGGCTGAACTAGTCTAGTTACTTAAATGGTTTGAGTTGTATAAACGTTTATTGATAAAAAATCTTCATACAAAAAGAAAACCCAATTAACATATTTTTCCAGTTCTCATACCTCTTTCTTCCTCGTGCTTTTTGGCTGAGGCACTCTTAGGTCTTCCTCTTCCTCGTCTGCTATGATCTGAATGGCTGTTAGACCTGGATCTTTTTCGGTTTTCTAAGTCTTTATTTACTGCAGAATTTATCTTCTCTCGCTTAACTCTCTCCGTCCGTCTCCTTTTGGCCTCACTCTTGTTTTCTGTGCAAATGAATAGAGATGGTATGATCCAGGGTTGTTTTCATCTTTGTTCTTAATTTACTCTTAGTGCTTACCCACCCAATCACCTTTTTTCTTTAAATCTCTTAGCAAAAGTGGTTAGATGTCTATACCTTTACAGAACAATTACATCAGCACGATATCCATGCAAAAATTAAGGTGTCAGATCCAGAATGACACTTCATTTCTTGATTACAGGATCAAGCCTTTAATTACTTCAAATGCATTTTGCAACATGAGACATTTGCTAGTATACAAAAAGTCCAGTTGTCCATAATAAGATGGAAAAAACCTGTACAGATCACAGCCATCAAGACAGCCCATTGCATGTTTCCACCAGCCAAAAAAAAGTTTATCATATAGGAAAACAGCAAAGTACTTCATCTTCTTTTGACACTAACGATGAAATCATTCCCGCTGCTCACACAAATCGAGATGCTGAGTCAACAATGCTGTCAGTAAATGCGACATTACATAGCATACATGTCCCACCAAATATAGCCTACGACAAGGCCTCATAATACTTAATACTGGTGTATTGTTTTCCTACAGACCAGAGTCACAAAAAAAGAGTATTTACATGAGTTTCAGCTGTAAGTTAAGTATAGATTAACAAGCTTGGGTACTGAAAATAGTACAGTCACCACAGCACACTGTTCAACACAGACTGGTGGCACATTTGCAAGGCTACAGCACCACTCTGCAGTATTGTTGAAAATACTGGCACAATGTTTTCTAAAAGAAGTTGCAGTTACCTTATGAGCACAATACAGACATACACGGTCTCCCACTGTATCTTCCTGGGGAACTGGTTTCCTTTTGCTGCAGTTGTCCCATTAATCTTGTATAGACACAGGGTACAAACTGGACAGCAGGGTAACTTGTCACTAATGTTAATACAAAAGCTGTATTTCACAGTATCACAAGAAGTTTGATGTAGCAACCTCTGGAGACCAACCTGTCCAACCCCCCTGCTCAAGCAAGGCCACCAAGAGCTGGTTGCCCAGGACCACGTCCAGATGGCTTTTGAGTATCTCTAAGGATGGGGACTGCACAACCTCTCTGGGCAACCTGTGCCAGTGCTCGGTCACCCTCACAGTAAAAATGTGTTTCCTGATGTTCAGAGGGAAACTCCTGTGTTTCAGTTTGTGCCCATTGCCTCCTGTCCTGTCACTGGGCATCACTGAAAAGAGCCTAGCTCCATCTTCTTTACACCCTTCCTTCAGGTGTTTATATACATTGATAAGATTCCCCTGAACCTTCTCTTCTCCAGGCTGCACAGTCCCAACTCTCTCAGACTTTCCTCAGAGAGATGCTCCAGTCCATCATCTTGGTGGCCCTTCATTGGACTCCCTCCAGTATGTCCGTGTCTCTCTTGTACTGGGGAGTGCAGAACTGAACACAGTACTCCAGGTGTGGCCTCACCAGCGCTGAGTAGAGGGGAAGGACCCCCTCAACCTGCTGGCAGTTCTTTGCCTAACGCAGCCCACAACACCGTTAGCTGCCTTTGCCGCAAGGGCACATTGCTGGCTCATGTTCAACCTGCTGTTCACTGGGATGCCAGTTTCTTGCCTGCAAAGCTGCTTTCCAGCGGGGTGGCCCCCAGCATATATTCATGCATGGGGTGGTTCTGCCCCTGGTGCATTTCCTATGTACAAAGCTGAATTATAGAAGAGCTTTGCTCTACCAGATTACGGCTTTCAGCTTCATTTGGTAACTACTTTATCAACTATCAAATAAAACAATCGGGGAGGGGGAAAGAAAATTGACCAACACTTCCAAACAGTACCACAGACATTGCTTAACCTCCTCCACCTTGAAAGTTCAGTTATCTATCATAATGTCATATAAGTCCTACAAGATGGTAAGCTCCAAGTATCCTTCAAAATACTGATACAAAATATCAAATACTTAGCTTCCATTTTGTATGCCTGGCAGGTAATTTTAAGAAGTAGACATTATAAATCAGATACTTTTTTTTTAGACATCTTCCCTGTGCTTGTTCTGACTAATCCCTACTAGGGCTGGAGGAAGTGATAAAAATGAACACAAGGAGAATGTTAATCATGCCAGAATGCATATTCAACTGACTTCTTACTGTGCCCATCAACAACAAAAGACACAAGTTAGACACAAAAAATACACCATTTTTTTAATTTAACCATGCAGAGAGACTCAAGACCCATCTGGTTTTAGATTAAACATATGACCAATGTTATACAAAGTGCCATTCAGGTGTTCATAAATAAGTATAACTCAGCATAACTTCTTCAAAAAAAAGAGGATTTTTACTTTCAGAAAACCCAGCTTCAATCAGCATGTACTCTGAAATATGACCCCTCTGGCACGTCTAGACATTTAGCTTCAAAATCGGATTAGCAGAAAGCTTTCCATAGGGAGTTATTTTGCAGAGCGACCAATATGCAAAGCTAGAATATACGCAGAATAAATGCCAACATCATAAGTACAAAGGAAGTAAGACTGAAAAAAACACCAGCTTTTTCCCCCCCTCAAAATTCAAGAAAAATTAACATATTAAAAGTCTACCATGCGCAAATTCAAAGGAAAGTGAACTGACAACAGCCAGTTTATAGAGAGAAGTAAAATACTCTATCCTTTGCCTCCAAGAAATAAAGGGAAAGAACTGTTGTCTCCTTCTTCCCATCTCTGTAAGTATTACCTGTGATGGGTGGTGATCTCTCAGCACGTTTAGCATGCAAGAGTTTTCGACTAATAAATATGTAGCCACAGGGACATGATTTACATGCAACAGGAACCTGGGAAAACAAAAGACAAATATTTCAGATCATTTCAAATTATGACAAAATTCCTGTCTGATGAAGAAAAAACCTAATAACTCGCATTTTGTCCTCAGAGATACCTCTTCAAATTCAGTCTGTACTGCAAACTATGGCCTGTGCTATTATACAATTGTATTTAAATGTAATAAAAACAGGTTCAGCTGTGAATCACCCACCAAGCCTTTTCTTTATGCAGTTGTTAGAAATCAAGCTTGAAGTATACAGCTGTTGTGACCGCTTTGTGCTACAAACCCTTTCCCCCAGACTATCAGGAAGAGGGTGGGGGAAAGCGGAGAGTACTAAAGCAAGGGTGAATTAGAATAGAAATATAATTTCTCCTCAGAGCTCTCAAATATCCCCAGTCAAATCAGTCAGACATTCCCAGTTTTGCTTCCTTCATTTACTTAAAAAAAAAAAAAGTATGAGTTAAAACTGTCAGTACATTCTGAATATATTCACTTTCAGAAGCATTTGAAAGGAGCTCCTTTGGAGAGCAGGAGCAGCTTTAAACAGGAGGCACAATAGAACCCAAAGCAAAACAGATGCATTTGTACCACACTCTACAACACTGTTGCAGACAAGGCCGGATGGTTACAGAAGGACCTAGTTAATTCAAAATGCAAATAACCTACCACAGCTAGGCAAAAGCTGACTGCAGGCTGAAGAGTTTGAGAGACTATAGTGCTTCTCCTGATCAGCTAAGCGGTCAGGAGCAGTACATTCCCCCAGCATAAGACAATTTAAAACAAGATGAGAGAATCTGAAAATGCCACACTTGCATGAAAAATGACAAAAATCTTACTCTGAGCACTTAAAAAAAGTGATGCTGATAAATTACAAACCTCGTTACCTTACTTAAAGTCGAGATCTTTTAAGTAGTAAGGAATAAACCTAATCAAAGCAATATGGTGCAAGACTGAAAACACAAATCAAAGCAAGTTTAAAGAGAGATCTGGAAGAGATTAACACACATTAAAGTCAAGTCATGTTGAAGCACGACAGTGGGGAAAAAAAGCAGGAGGTAATTTCTCAAGTGTAATTCTTTAAGACAGGTCTCTACAAGTTTGTCAACATCCACTGAAACAAACAGAAGTACGGAACCACGACTCCCTGCTCAATTTTACCAGGCGTGCAGAAGAATCAAGTTCCAACGTTCTATTGGCTAGGAAAAAAGCTGCCAAATTAGTACATGAATTTGTAACGGGAAACTTAACTGCTACTCAGAATAAACAAATTATTTTGCCTTCTGTAGCACATCTTGACTCCTGTACTTGACCCTATGAACAGCTTACAGATAGACTTTTCATATAGGTTTTAATTAACTAGAGACTTTAATTCCCTTTATGGAGATACTGACATAATAAAAACAATTCTAATTAAGGTTTATTGAACCTTAAAGCTCAGAATTCAGCAGACTTGCGTGCACGCTTATCTCCTTGTTCATAAGCCAGTATAAGAGTACTAAAAAACACTATGTAGCAGACAGTTTGCCTGTATTGTTAAGGTGATACAGGAGTTTCTTTTAAGCCCATTTTTTAACACCTGCATCTGTCCAATAATTAAGTTTCCAGGCTCAGCCTAAAAAAAAAGCCGGGAAAGCCACCCAAGGGGATTGGAGCAGACCCAATATTTTTCAATGAACTTAACTGTGTTTAACAGAACAATATTGTTCTCGTGTTACAGGTTCGGCATGTAGGGGTGTGTGTCATTTGCGGGTGGGACTAGGTGGGAAGGGGCTTATTCACTGAAAGATATGTTATCCTTTGAAGACCTACACTGATAACATCCTGTAACATAATTATTAAGGCAACATAGTCCTACAAACACTATTTTACTGTTTAACGTTTTCCTAACCAAAAAGAAATTGACTTTCTCATACAAGAAAGTTTACCTGAAGCTAAATTAAGAAGTGATAATTATTTCTTCTGATTGACTGCAAGTACTTCAGGCTCCCTAGTTTAATGGGGCTGTGCTTTGGTTGTGAAAGTATCATCAAAACCCTTCTTTTGTTTTAAAAAAGTCTAAATGGCAATTACATAGCATCTAAATTACAACAGAAGTTTAAAAGCCTTAAAAAGTGTTACTCAATATTGCACTCCAACATTTGCGGCTGTCTAAATATTTCCATGCATGCCACTTCCAGCAAAGAAATCCGAAACAAATGCAAAGCCCTTGTTTATGGAAGAATTTAAGAAACGCTAGTACAGGACACAACCACTTAAGAGTCACACAAGAGCTTCCCCACACTCTGCAAAAGGCTGACTTGTACTGTAGGTTTTAGTTTCTTGTCCCCTCTCAAACGTTTGGCACCGGAAAACAAGGTCCTATGAGCAATGCTTGTGCCGGGGCAGGACACATATGCACATTAATTCCATGTTAGCCACAGAAGAGTTGCTAACAGAAAATCTACATTGACACATGCGTATCACATGTTTTAGTTTTAAAGCGCAGAACAAAGTGAAAGTTTCAGCATCAGCTTAAAAAGCCTATAATGTTTGCTTACTTGCTCTTCCTATTGTTGGTGGTTTGACATTCACTACGTTTATTAAAAAAAAAAAACAAACACCCCCCCCCCAAAACCCAAACCCCACTACTCTCATACTCAACTTCGCACTCATTTTAATTTCTTCTTTCACCAACTGAGTAACCAGAACTTGGCATGCAATTTTTTCTCAGAAATAGTACTTCAGTAACATGCTTAACACGTGAGCATTTTCAGTGGTTCTACTGCTTAAAACATGAAAGGATGCCCCCCCCAGCTTAACATTCCAAGCTGTTCCAGGATGAGTAGAAACACTATAAAAACTATGCAAGTCATAAAGATTAAAAAAAAGTCATTCATTCTAAGTAAAGAAAAATGGCATGAGATTATTTTTTTAAGTATAGCTAAAATAGTGTATACCAGTCAAGTTTCAGGATCAAATAATAGAAACGTGTTTCCCATGACTACACACAAAAGCCTCTCCCCCTACCCTGAGCCCCACAGCAGGCTTCTGCAGTGCTGTGCTATTGTTCCAGCAGAGGAGCGCTGCTGGAACAAGCCGGCCTATTTTTAATAGTAACATCATTACCAGTAAAGAGCGTAAACCAAGACAAGCTCGTGATACAGTAACAGTTCAAGTCGGCTGTTGTTAGTGTTCAAGTGTAAGTCACTCCATTTTGTACACATAACAAAACTGCAGTGAGACATAAACAACAGTTCAGGTATACATTTGGACTGCATGATAGAAATTGCAGCAAAGGTCTCGACTCTGCTGTTTCTAAACTACTCCATGAGAAAATAACACAACTGAGCACTCTCCCGACTAGCCTTAGGCACATTAGTCATCCAAAGGACAAACTGCATTGTATAAGTTACGAAGTTCATTATATTTTTAATAAATTACGTAGTTACTAAACAATACTAGCGCATAAACAAACAATTCTGAACGTCACTTCAGCATAATATAACTATTACACTGTCCTGCAAGAGGAACACGACATTTAATCCACATTCCAAGCACAGACTGCAAAGGCAGCAATTATTTACTTCATATAAACACTGCTTCACAGCGGCACGGAGACAGCTCAATTTTTTCCCCCTCCTCCCTCAAAAGCAAACAGCTCGGTCGACGGCTTCTCGCCCTGCTATTGCACGCTTAAGATCTGCAGCGGTGGGTATCGAGAAGCAGCCACAACCGAAACAGAGAGGAGAGAAAACAGGAAGCAAGGCTGCCTGCGCTAACGCGGGGAGCCGCTCGGCAACCGGGGCACGGCACGCCGCCCGGCGCCCCGGGAGGTGGAAGGCGGCTGCGAGCGGCCTCTGAACTCCGCCCGGCTCGGCGAAAGGTCAGTGCGGGACAGCGCACGCCTACCCTGCCCTACGAGGACGAGCC